GGGGGGGCAGGGGGGGAACAAAAGGACTGAGAGACCGGACTGTCCAAGATTACACAAAGAGGTGAAAAACTACAGTCCTTACAAACTGTCTAGTTCTGAAATCCTTTTAGCATGTTATTACTCACATGGCAAAGGCTCTCTCAAAGTAAATAGTTATGAAAAAATTTGTTTGTAGATTGTAAGAAGAAGAAATTAAGACCCCCAAGAAATTTATCTGAGGTCGTATTTAACTGATTTATATACCACAACACAAAGAATGAACTTGCAAATGTAAATGGCATTTGAATGTAGAATTGGTTTTATGTTATTGAGTTATTTCCTTCTCATGAAGCCATTTGCAGGATAACAGAAGATCACCACTCATGCTTGTTTGAGCTTCTCAAATAAGAACAAACATGTGGTCCAGAGCCTAAAGAGATGATCAGCAACTGAAGGGAAAGACCAGAGAGGGATATTATATTAAGAAAGCTGTGTAGTGAATCCTACATAGCGTAACTGTTGAAGTTGTTAGAGAAGATGTAAGTGAAAGAATTAAGACAATGTCATGCACAAGGGCAGCTGTGTGGGCAAGAAGCCAGGCAGAGACAAAATGCAGAGCAGGCTAAATAAAGTGCAGGCTGTAAGATATAGCCTCATAAATATATACACGAATAAAAAGAAGTTATTGTTGTCACTTTTTTTGATGCTTAAAACATGTGCAGGTTGAATTAAAAGAAATGAGCATGCTGAAAGCATTTCAGAAGTGTGGATATTCAAAAAATAAAAACCTTCTACATATCGAGGTTATTTTGACTATTAACGTCTCTTTCTAACATGGCCAACTTTGGATAATTCATTTAAGGTTGTAATGGTAAATGGCATATGGTAATATAAGAGATTTTTACATTATTATACCCTTCGCACCCTTCTTGAGAAAAATGTTCCAAAATGAGACAGCCAGAGCCAATAGTTTTTTTAGATCTTGCAGTTTTAAAGCTGCATTAATGCTGATGGTTTTCGATTAAATAATTTTTTACCCTCATTTTTTCCTAGAAGTTTTTGAGAATTAGATCCCCAGAATTTCAGTAGGAGATGAGTATCTAATTAACTTAGGCTTTTTTGAAAAATCATTCATCCTGTTTAGAAAAGAGGAAGATGATGAAGTAAGTCCTTTGTACGTTTTCCAAACCCAGTTTTGCACTCTCCAAGTATTCGCTTACTTTAAATGGCTTTTGTGTTGGCTGCTCCTACAGAACTCTGTACTCGGTGTACCGAGTAAACAGATTTCTAATGGTCATACTTTTAGTAAAGCAAGTACTGATTTACTTATTTCTACAATCTATCGAAGTAACACTCGATGAGGCTATTTATGTGCCCTTATGTATACCTAAACAACTATCCAACATGCCAGACAACAGAAAATCGTATACTACTTCCTCACAAAATCACACTTCCTAAAATAAAATGAAATGTAGCAGATTTTGGCCACTTCCCAAGCCTCATCTTCTGCACTGAACAGCTGACAAGTTAATGTGATTAGTTGTTCAGCGCCGAGACTAGGTAGTGATGGTTCATAAATACATGGACACTATGTGGTTGCTTTTGTTGGATCATTTGGAAGACTAATCACTTCAGATGAGCCTTTGGTTTTGTATGAATTTAGGATGAGTAGACAAACCAAGGCTAGTCACTGTAGACTGACTGAACTCTAGAAGTAGCAATAAACCTACTGCCATCAAGAATAAAAGCACCATTTAAGAAGCTTGAGCTCACAAGAATCCAGAGCCTCTAAAGGAACCCTCATCAGTGCAGCAAGAAGCATACTACCCGATTACCAAGTAATACATATTATCAGGTAATATCATATTATCCTCTGAGACAGGGCATGTTTTAACGGAGGGATGGTTCACAGTTTGCAAGTCCGCCACAGGCTGGTCTCCAGTCAATTTTCTATCTGTATTTGAGAGCTAAAGAGCATTATCAAACACACGTTAATGTTAACACAGGCACATGAAACAAAAAAAGCATTGTCTTTTGGCGCTTGACAAGCACCACACTAGGCTGACATGTCAACATACTCTTGGCCTTCTTTCAGGTCTTTCAAAAATCCAACTGAAGCTGAAGCCACAAAACTCCCAAGTCCAGCTCCACGAGGGGAGGAAGCTGGACTGTGTACCATTTCCCTGCGTATCTACTATTTCATAGATCTCTCTCCCTCTTCAAATTGGGGAGGGGGGAAAGACCAGGGAGAGAACCATCACGTATGACAGTAGGGCCTCCCAGGGGAGACGATGCTAAAAATTCACACAGCTGCTCAGAGGGTTTGATCCCCCACAAGACTTGAACCAAACCCCTGAAGACTTCAGTGATGTGTGCTTGGCTCTTAAGCCGAGCACTTTACAAGCCATTATGTTTGAGAATTTCACAGCATTCTCAAAACTTAAAAAAGCACAAGCATATTAGCACAGGAATCAGCCTTTACTGCTTTTAAACCTGAGTAACTCTGTTACTTTCTGAGCAAACATTCTTAACTCTGTCAAAGGTTGACACATACCTTCAATATTGTTTTTGGACGTTTTTTAAAGTAAAGTTTTGGCTTTTCAATCACAGGAAGAGGAGGAAGTTTCTTAAGTTCTTGTAGGACAGCCATTGCAGCACGTTTCTTTGAGAGTTTCTTACTGTTGCCTTCTCCTTCTGCAGTGAATTCTCCTACTGTAACTCGTGTAACAAAGCTCTTCATGTGAGGAGGTCCACTTTCTTTAATCACCTTTTAAGCAAAAGTGACATCGAGTCAAATCACCCTACAGGAATGTAACTTAACGTTTGTATCTCTGCAATGTACTTACTACTAAGGCAGCTCTCCTGCTCATTGAAAGCATTAGACAGGTTTTCATAAAATCTGCACAAGTATTAATGGCAGTGCCAGGTTTGAGGACAGAAAATTAAGGTTAATTAGATACAACAAATCTAACCACCATATTCAGTGTTTCACAGAAAATATGTAGATCTGTATTTTGAGAAAGATTTATAAAATAACAGAATACACAACAATAATGCATATTTCAACCAAGGCTGCTGGTTTTTACCTTGCAAGGTGCTTCACATACTAAAGAAATTCAATTCATGATGGTCCACCAGGCTTTGGCTATCTCACTACACAAAATATATTCAAAATTGCATTTATATGGCATCACTTCAACTTGTAATTTTTTTCTATTATCATGAAAGCACAGGATGTTCACGCATGGTCCCAAACTTCAGTCTTAAAGGCCTGTATTTTTACGCTGTCCCAGCTGCGGGCAGCATGCCTGCTCTCAACTCTTACCTTGCCCGAGTACACAACTCAGAGTGATATCCTGTACATTTGAAAGGCTGCCAACAGTCTTGACTCCACGACTCTCAGCTGTCCCTCCCAACAGTACCAAAAGAAATTATCAAGAGTCACCATAACTCACACGAAAGCCAATCAGATCTAAAAAGTTTCATTTACTCATTCCCTTCCAAACATATTCAGGATGACAATGAGAAAACCCATCTGAAGGACTTCTCCACTATTAAAAGTTACAATAATATGGAAAAAAAATGAAGTTCTGAACGCTGTACCTTTCTTCAGCTCTTTTTCTGTCTCCATTTTTCTACACACATAGGTCTCCTTTCAGGAGGCTATACTGTTCAGATGCATTCATCAACAAAATCACAGCACTGCAAGTGCTAAGACAACCATCTCTTCTCGTATGCACCATTTACTGGTCTGGACAATGTCTATCAGGAATTAGAGACCTCATTTGGGAAAAGGTTCAGTTATTTTGTTTGATGGCCGGAAGCAGCTACCTAATTTAATCTTTGTTACACGTAATGTGTATAAAGAGACATTAGAGCATCTGACAAGCATCTCTTTGTATTATCTTCAAAATCAATACAAGTACATATTTTTTCAGTAGGTGCAATTACATCAAACCATTTGTTGAAGAAGTGTAATGCCTGAGTGCAAGGGAATGGAGGTAAAGGCGCTAGGGCCTTCTTGGTGTAATAACTATATTTTTAATGGGCTGAAACCTTCAACCTTAATATTATTACAACATGTTTCATATTAAAGTTCTTTTTATCAAGGTCATGTCCCTTGCATTATTTAGTTTTGCTGTTACACTGTAATGAGGTCTCCTTAGGCTTGTATTTCTTTTTTAAGCTCTCTTTTGTGGCAAGTTCACCCAGCAAATACAATTATCACAGCATACATCAATAAAAAGACACAAAATGAAAACTAACAGACAACTTTGCCCGCATTTTCCCAGAATAAGACGACATCTGTGCCAGCATGGGACTTTTCCGTTGTAGTCCAGAGTTGTTCCCACCTTTAGGGTCCCAGGTAACATTTTCAGAAGCGTTTTCAAGATTGCCTCACCTGAGGGTTGCCCACTAGTGCTTCACCACGTGAAAAGGGAGTGGTGCTTTCAAGTCACTGACCCACGGGAACCTGCACTGCCTGCACCAGAGCTGGGACGAGCCCAGCACCAGCATCTCCTGCTCTCAGCCCCAGTCAGGCTCCGTATCAGTGCTGAACGCCTTCATTGCACTACAGTCTTTCCCACCCTGTTTTAAAGGCGTATCTTAATCCATCCCTCTAGGTTGCTATCCAAATATTCCAACGCATTGGCTGTAGAATGTGGCTAAATTAATCTTACTAAGGTCCTTAACCTTTTTGTGGTCTTACTAATAGCATTATATAGGTGTTTCTACTTACATGCAATATAATGTATTAATAAAATACACAAGAATGTCTATAGTGACCAGATGAAAAAGGACAAAATAACTTGCTTAAGAAATATAATTGCTGAGATCCTAAAATACTAGGTTTATATAAGTTTTCTCATATATATATATATAAATGCACACAAATATATACATATGAAAAAGAATGTTAACACAAAACTAGATTATATTTTTCATATACAGATATGGAAAGATATTTCTTAATATAAAACTAACGTATTCCGGTGCGGTTTTCATCTTTTAAACTTTAAAGTATGTGACACAAGGTAAGTAATTGCCTGGAAAACACTCAAAACTGTTTCTTTGTTAGTGTGTAAATGAAAAAAGTCTGTGTTGTCAATGGAATGAACCCCATAGGACTCAGATGGGATCCAGATCAAGTTAAACATTCAAATTTGGTAATTAAGCAAAAAAAACATTTACCTAACAACATTTTTGGTTAACCCCAGATTTTAGATCTTTTTACTCCACATGATTTCAAACATTTGTGCTTTAAGCCTTGGGACAGAAAACACTAAAAAGAAATTCAGCCTTTGCTATCCAAGAACACTACATGCATTAGTACATTAAACTATTTCCTCAGTTGAAAAGATACGACCCGTGGACCAAATCATGGCCAATTTAAAGCTGAGAATTTGATTAAGGGTGACAGTTCAATACACTTTTCTTTTTCTGTTCCACTGATTTAAAGAATAACTCCAGCAAGAGAAAACACATGGGGCCAAAACACATCTAAGGTCAAGTTACATCAAGAGTGAATTTGGCTCAACTTAATGAATCATGCTGACAAATGAAAAACAGCAGTACGATTACAACGCTGCTTCAATTATTAATGAGACTCCAGGTAGAAAATTCAAAAGATTATGACAAGATTAAATTGACATTAAAAAAAAATAATGGAAAAGACAAAAAGCAGGTCAACAAAAACATGTCATCTACATCCATGATTATTTAGAAGTTTTAAAATACCAATATATTTCCATGCGCTTGTGTGGGCAGACATACCAGATTTTCCCAGTTTAAAAAAAAAAAAAAAGAAAAAAAAGTCTGGATGTTTTATTAAAACTGGAATGAGGAACAGTGCCTATCATGCAAAACCCCAGTGAGAGCTACTCGGTATGTCAATCATCCAATCTGAAAGCCTTAATTCCCAGGAGAGCAGGAGCCAGACGGGTGTGAAATTTCCTGATGAGAACTTG